GACGGGGTCATGTAAAGCGAGGGTGAGGTGCCGGTCCCGCACACGATAGCTGTGTTCAGATGGTTTGGGACACAAAGGAAGAAGAGGGTTTGTTTCCCGGTACGGGAATGGTCTCATCCTGGCTTTAAGGTAGAGCTCTGGAAGTGCCACGTTCCCCCCATCCCTGTCTTGCCCCAATCCCCCAACCTCCCCCCCCGCCTTCCTGTCAACTTTCACTTTAAACACTGGGTTTTCTGCGTCTGGAAACAGAAATGGGCTTCTTGGAGAAACTGATTCCAGGTGCTGCCTGCCTCCACATCTTTTAACTAAATAGCACAAAGCAAGGGAGAACACAGGTATTAATGAAGATGTGAATATTTATCTTCTTTTAAAAGTCGGCATTTATTTTATATTCATTACATTGCCTTTGTTTTACCAACATCATTTCCCTCCTCCAAATCCTCAGAGGTTCTGTGTCCTTCAACGAAAATGTTTTCCCTGGAAGAGTCTGAATGAAACCAGGAGCTTAATGACACCAACCAGTCACCATCACCTGAGCACGCCCTCCCAGGAGCCGGGAGGATGAGTGACAGGGCCCAGCACTGCACTACACTTGGCTGGAAATGAAGCAGGGAGGGCAGGAGGGCAGCAGAAGACTGAGCTCAGGGCAGACAGCATGGTCCTTTCAACTGCATGATTTTGTGTTGGATTGACTGCTTTAATCCATAGATTCGGAAGAAAAGCAAGAGAACTCCCCTCTGGAAGTGCTTCTGACACTGTTCATTCAACCTGACTGTTGGTTTCAGCAGGTCAGCATCAAGGTCACAAGTCTGGACCTGAGCCCTCCCCAGCTGGGATGTGTCAGCAATGGCCAGCAGATAGATCAGGCTTGTGGTATTTATTGGTCCTATTGAGGGCATCAGGCTGGTCCAGGCACCCTCCCAGGAGATGTTTTGTGGGGCCTTCTGGGCTAAATATACATCCCAAGATATAAATCTAAATATACATCTCCATCCCAGGAAAGCAAGTACTGCAAAACCCCAGCCTAGTAGGCAGCCTAGACAGACATGGACAAGCTCCTGCTCTGCCTCAGGAAAGCGTGTTCCAGGAGCAGAAGTGGCAGGCAGAACACAAGTAGTGCCCTGCTATCTCCTGCCAGCTGCCTGAGGGATCTTGGCAGATCCCTCTAGGGAGCTACAGCAACACCCTCCCCACCCTAGCCAGACTCATTTACCCTCCCAGTAAGGGGTCCCAAAGCCACCAGCTCACAAACCCTGTGCTGCTGCCAAGGGACATCAGGATACAACAGTCGTGCTATCGCTGCCGCTCAGACAGTCTTCTCAGAAGCCCATGGCAGGGGGTCAAAGCTCTGCTCTGGGAATCATGGCTCTGCAGGGAGACCAAACACCTGGCAGACCACAGAGAGGGCCTGCGAGGAAGCACATTGCACCTCTGTGCTGCTGTAGCTGCAGCAAAATGGTATTTGGGAATGAGTGTTCACACTGAATTTTCCTATTACGGCGGTTTAACCCAATTACGTTAGTTCCTGGAGACACATCCCCAAGGTTTACTCTGTGTGCAGTGTTTATCAGCATACACGCTAGTGGCGTCATGGAGGAAAGCAAGCATGAGGAGCCCTCTTCCCTTCTCATACCTCCTCCTCCATGGTGCAACTGCATTTTGGGAACAGCACTTTCCAGCCAGCTCCTTTAGCAGAGCAGGCCCTGCTTTGAGGTGGCAGTGCTCAGCATTGCTGGCTTGTGCCCTCTCTCTGGGCTGTGAAAGGATGCTCTGATCTGACTTCTGGCCCAGAGTAGGGTAC